GAACATGAGCACAAACAATATGCAGTTAAAATCAGAGAAGTGTTGATTTCGCTGGGGTGCTTAAAACAACAGCGATACCTGTTGAATGTAATCCCCGACCATGAAATGTTGGCACACAGCCATGATATCTTTCTTCAGCGCTGCATGGCGAATACAGAGTCGTGCTGCTACCACAACACTGCAGGGAGAACCCAACTGCATGAGCCCTCGCTGTAAAAACTCTCACCAGACATTTGATATTCATAGAATAATATTCTTACAACCAAACTTGTGGTGTTCAGGAAAGATTTGAGATCTCAGAGTTCCTAGTACTGCACATACTGACCGTCAAGCATCTGAAGTATACTTCCCGTGTTCCTCGAGTGTTTTTATAACCCTAGAACACTAGAAACCTTCTCTGAAAAACATAACAGTGGATCACTAAAAGTGCAATGATTGTCAAAGCTCAATGATTAATGTTCTGTTTGTTCCCTGCACAAAGCACATCCCTGACAGTCCGGTTTGAAACCTGGTACTTTGTTTCCATTATCTTACTACTTCAATCAGTCACATTAATGTACAATCAAACTAAACTGTGAGTTCTTGTTGCCTAAACAACATCAAGGTATTAATTCTCCATCTCAATCATCGGTTTCAAGGGGCAACTGGCATATTATGAAATATTTAGTACAGATAAATGACTTTGATTTAGAAAGCCTGCTGAAACGTGTCTCTACATTTTGGTGTAAAACATAAAGGGGGTGTTCTAGGTTGAATGCAAAGTAAAAGCTCTAAATAATCCCTCACATTCTGACATTTTCATATAGAGTCCAGAAATAACATTCTGTTGACCGTGAGAGCAAAGCTTTACACAAAACCCCAGACCCCTCACTTGTCATGCTCTCCAACTATTTAATAATAGTGAGAGAAACTTATTCCCCATCGACTCTCTCTTCCCTGTGAGCTATATAAAGAGATGAGATTGAGTAAGAGTCCAGTGACTGAGAGCAGAAGCCAGTAGGGAAGTGGCTCAAAAGAAAAACTACAGTATTTGCAATCCAGCTCTACAGCGGAGAAAGAGAATAAAACCAGGCAGTTTGAGTGGCAGAAGCTACCACAATAACCAAAAAGTTGCATGTCCATACGGTATCAGATAGTCTCAGGCAGTTTCAGATCTCCCAAATACTCTCAATTCCCTTGTGACACTGAAGACTAAGGTGTTTGGACTGAGAAAGGAGCCTTTCAGGATTTCTCTTCCTCAATAATGCACACTACTGGTTTCTCTTACTTCTACTTAGGAGGACTGATACATCTTTATTCTATTGTCTATTCTATATTCATCTGCTGCTGCATCTAAGTTGAATTAGTTCATAATCCCTATTCTTATTTTTTCTTTATTCCCTTAAATCAGTTTTAACTCTTTAATTATTTAATTAATTTAAATATAAAGACCCCCCCCCCCCCCCCCATATAATAATATGCCTAATAATAATAATAACAGTATAATAATAGCTTTAAATAATTTTAAAACACTTATAAGGCACAAAAGCAACTCGTTGTAGGTAACAAGCCTCTTTTAGCCAATATATATATAAATTGTGTAAAATTACATAATTTAAGAGCTGTGACAACTTGCCCCGATCCAACACCTTGTCCTGACACAGATTAACCTTTCGGTTAAAATCTACCATCATTAAATTAATCTTGTCTGATAGCTTACAGGTGTGGTTTTGCTGTATTTACTTGTTTATAACAGAAAAACAATTTTATGATTTTTTGGAAAATAACTTTTGTGACAACTAGCCCCTGCTGTAGGGTCTCCCTTATTTGTATTTGTATTATGAAAGAATAGTTATGCTCTGACAGCAAGAAAGTGTTTCAATGGTTTCACAAATAGGCTATTGTGTGAATACAAACAGCAGCACTGCATTACGCAACCAAAAAAAAAAGATACTCGAGTTCTGAATTGCAAAATTTCTCAGGACCCTCTTTGGGAGGCGAACAATAGCTTAAGCCAAACATCAACGCCACGCCCATGGGGTCGATGTTGCTACAAGAGTCGCGAGCCACACTTTCACGCGTGTACTGCTGCACGCGACAGGCGCGTGGGAGCCTCGCAAAGCCTCTACCGAGCGCCGAAACCAACCACAGCCGAACGAGAAACGAAACGATTACATGCGTCCGGATGTTTAAATATGCCGTGGCGAAGTATTTTGTGGGGACTCGAGTTTAATCGGGGTTATTTTCTCCCACGGGTTAACAGGAAGTTTTACGTGAGAGTTTCAAAATCTCGCATTTCTAAAGAGGAATTTAATGAAAGCATCGCGTAATGTTTGCGTTGTTCAGAATACTTTCAAAATGCGCGTGACTTTGAGATTCTTCGGGATAACTGTAGATGGTAGGCTATATAGCTTATGTCTATTTATGTTATGGGCTACTTAAGTGTTGTGCATATGGTTTTCAACGATAGTAGACGACAGTAAGCGACTCTTTGGGATCTGCTGAGCTGGAGACGGAGGAATTGTGCAGCTGCAGTGAGCTGGAACAGCAGAGGAGGCGGGACAGACATCCCGACTCCATCCCGTGGAGAACTGGTCAACTTTCTGCCAACTTTAGATTGTTTTCTTGCCATTATCATTGTTAGCATTTTGACAGGAGACAGAACAAACGTGACTCTAAAATACTGCATATTGGGATATGGTAATGTTCTAGTAAAGTACAATGAGAAGTCTGTAGTCTTAGTTTAAAAGTGGGAGTTTTTCGTTATTAATCTGCTTTTACCGTCTAGATACCATCTACTTCTCTAGGGCATCATTTACTTACCCTCAAGTTGTTCCAACCCTGAATGGGTTTCTTTCTTCTGTTGAACACAAAATAAGATATTTTGAAGAAGGTAACCAGACAGTTGACGGTAGCATTGACTTCCATAGTATTTTTTTCCTACTTTCTGGTTACCGACATTCTTCAAAATATCTTCTTTTGTGTTTAACAGAAGAAAGAAACTCATATACAGGTTTGGAACAACATGAGGATGAGTAAAGAGTGACATAATTTTCATATTTTTTTGGGTGAATTAGGCTACCCCTTTAAGGCAATCTGTGTTCACGCGCGATTCCTATTCCTCCTTGCGTATAAAATACATAGGCTATACTTTTAAGAGACGCACAAGTTTTTTCTTTTCTTTTAAAACCAACCCCATATCTCGCAATTGTTGTTTCGCTTGATGTTTCTTTGTGACGAATGACACATTTAAATGAAGGCGCTTCTTCTTCTCTTTTTAATCCATAATAATGCATGACTAACTGAAAGAACGTTCTACCTCGGGCACATTGAGATAAAGTTGAGGTAACTCAAGGTTACTCATTATTAGGTTCGTTTCAAAGTCTAGATTGTTTCAAAAGGCCGAGGAGTCCTCCAAGTTAAACGTAAGCAAAGAAATGCAAATCGATGCAGGTGTGCGGGCCTCGGAGGTGACGAACTGAACTCCGATCTCGCAGCGCCCGGGCCCCATTGATCAGCTGAGAACTGGCCCCGTCTCCATAGCAGCCGCCTGGACGGCGCCGCGAGGACTGGCTGCAGGGCCGCTGTCAATGGGTGACGTCACGGGGCTGGCGCCAGAGAGTCTGCGAGAGCGCGAGCTCGCGGCGCTGCTCTATAGTGCTGCTTTGCTTGGTGCCAATTCATCACCTGTCAGGGATCAGTCAGGGTGTCATGCGAAATGTACACAGCTGTGAGAACAAAAAAAAAAGGACGAGGGAGAAAATGGAAAAAGCCAGTTGCGGCAGATGCGGACGAGACCACAAGCGTTTGTAAGTCCTGCGCGCGCGGAATGCAGTTTTTCTTGCGAAGATTTCCTTTTAAAAAACAGTCTAAAATGCATCGACCTAGAGATAGCTTACAAGTAGACTAGGCTACTTCATTTTCTAAGCAGTGATAATGAGAATGTATGAGGTGCATTCCGACACATCAACACGATTGCATTCCGACGCATCTCCGCAAACATCTGTTTAGTCGGATATGCACAAGCAACCAGGAAATCTCTGTCTCCATTGTTACTTAGCATGTGTAAACAAAGAGCTTTTTTTCTGTTTTCTGCCACCACTCTCGCCTCGCTCTAGACTGCCAAAAGGTTTCTAAAAAATGGTAATATAATCCGTGTCAGGATAAAAATATTCTTCCCAGTCCCATGAAGAATGCATTTTCACTTCAGTTGCAGCTGTGCAGTTTCACGTTAAAACTTACAGTAGTAGGCTACTCTTTCCCGGTAATTGATTCCTGCGCGTCTATCAATATGCTGCTCGCATTCGTGCACTAGAGAGCAGGAGGATGTCCTGTCATCACTATTACATCTTTTAAACAGGCCTAAAGACTGCTTTCATAATCCCCCTGCAGTCATGATGTGTAAACAAACATAAACATTAAGGGCACAACACCAACTGCAGAAAGTAGCCTTCACAGAGTTGAACCTGTAGGCTATATCATGTTGGTACATTCACAGCAAACACCCTAGATAAAGAAATGCCACTACAAGAGCTTTGGTTTTTTACCTTAATCGATTTTTTAATGGTTTTTGTGTCCTGGAGGAGGTTGGGGGAGGGACACTGTGAGAGTGGGCACAATTTTGAAGAAAAATATTATAATAGAACTAAGGTCAAGTGACTAATAACCCCCCCCCCCCCCCCCCCCCCCCGGCATCATTTTGCCATCTTTATCTAAAAGTATTGTTGCATGCCACTGACTTCTAGGTAAATGTTGATCATTTAATCAGTAAGGGAAAAATATGAAAATAAAGAAGCAATAACATGAAATGTGTTGAAAAGAGATATGTTAAGTCCCCGCCTATGCCTATTTAAAGGTTAATAGAAGGCTTAACTGGGGTTTGTACATTTCATAAACTGCATTATATAGATACATAAAATATGTTTACATCGTACCTAGTAAAATAGTCACGTTACGTAGCCTAGGTATTGTATAGGATGATGTCCAGCATAAATCAGTCTAAGCTTGTTTTGGCTCATTTTGACGGTTACACTAGAAACAAAGGCGGAAAATGCGTGAAAACATCCTTATACTTTCCAGTCCCTAATTCTCTTGATCAGAAACAGGTACACTGATTTGAGAAATTATCCGTGGAAGCTGAAGGCAGTCAGCGCCACCCTAAACACGCGCTTTCACTGGTTAAGAACGCGGAAGAAATGGGCGGGTCTTGAGCGCTCAGCACAGCGGCCAATAGCGTAGTGCGAAGGGGATGATTGACGCGGCTTAACCCACCAATCAGCGCAATCCAAACCAGCGCGTGAACAACCCACCTAGCAGGGTGTATATATACAGCGATGACAGCTCGCTAATCCACTGCGTTTGCTTCAACAGCCCAGCGCAAAGAGGAAATCTCGAACACAAAGGCGACTCTTTCAACGAAACCGTTCCTTACAGAGCTGTCAACATGAAGGCAATAAGCCCAGTGAGGTCTTTCCGGAAAAGTAGCGCGACTGTGACGGAGCACAGTCTGGGAATCTCACGGAGCAAGACCCCCGTGGACGATCCACTGAGCCTGCTCTACAACATGAACGACTGCTACTCTAAACTGAAGGAGCTGGTGCCGAGTATCCCGCAGAACAAGAACGTGAGCAAAATGGAAATCCTGCAACATGTCATCGATTATATCCTGGACCTGCAGATTGCACTTGACTCGAATTCGGCGATCACCAGCCTGCATCACCCGCGAGCAGGGCAGGGGACATCCAGAACACCCCTGACAACACTCAACACAGACATCAGCATCCTCTCATTACAGGTGAATGTCCCCAGAAACAACAGTGTAACTGTTCAGATCTATCTATCTATCGTGAATTTTGAAATGCGCTATTAATGCACGACAAAGCTTCATTGATTTGGTGCGTGTTTATGTGCAAGTTTGACCGCAAATAAATTTACTTTGTTTTTTTTTGTCCCTTTAGACACCTGAGTTTCAATCAGATTTGATCACAGAGGACAGCAGGACACTTTACCGTTAATCAGGTAAATGCTCTTGAACACACTGGTTTTGATGAACCATTTATTATATGCTGTAAATGACAGAAAAATATGTTATGCTGTCAGAACAGAATTGAATTAAGAGCGTGAAATCAAATTTGTTAAGGACAATTTGTGTCACATATAGTCTGTAAAGTAGTATAAAGAGTTTATTAATCATCAGTTGAGGTTGAATGTTGAATGTTGAAATGCTCCCACTGAAGGGAAGGCAGTGCTCGTGTACATCTGGAGCCCAGGGTTTTGCTCAGTCTATGAGTGTTTGGTTAAATGTTCAAACTGCGGCTTCCTCTCTGGCGCCAGGCTGTCCGGATCTCTGCCCTGTTTGCATTCTCTAAATGCGCCTCTTTCTCAATCTTTTGCAGGTGTTTGGTTAAGACACAAGAACACACAGGACCTGGGAACTGGCTTTTCCTCCAATTTCTGTTCTCAGTCTGGAGTTTTTTTTCTTCTTTCTTTCCTGTAATTGAATCAAGAGACTTTTTTTGTTGCTTCTAAAAGGACAATCCATGTGATGTGTTATAAGTTCGGACATTGATTATTTATCTTCTAAAAAGATTTATTTGGTCCTTTCTTCAAGAGGAAGAAGCACTATTCCCTGAAAATAGGAGGGAAACCTGTAAATGATCGCAAGGAACCTTTTCTCTGCATTGAGAAGAAGTCTTACCTTTTTTTTCGTGAAGAACGTGTGAATAGGAGACGACGTGGTTAGTTACTGTACAAAGTTTAAGTCTGTTTTTGTCAATTCTTTTGGCACATGAAGGACTGGACGTTGAAAATGACATGATGAAACCTTGTGAACTCTCAGAGTTTTATCTTGTATAGTTGCAGAAATTGGACTGTCAGTATCTGCAAAGTGTTATGCTGTATGCTGAGACTTTTTATAAAAGTATATTGTAAATCGTACCTTTTTTTTTTTTATACAAAATAAATCAAATGCTTTATTTGACACTGGTCTGTTATGCTTGCATCTTAATGTCAATCTGCCAGTGTTGTGCTGTATATTCTTGACCTTGCCTTTTATATCCTGGTACTTAAAAGCATGTCACTGACCTTTCATACATGCACGTTTGCCCATTACTGACAGGAACCTGCATTAATCTTTTACATTGCCATGTGTTTGTGTAAAAGTGCATTCATTCCAGTTCGTAATGGGGGAAATGTGCCATTTCCTAATATATAACTGTCCACAAATCATACGGCCTAGCAGTTTTTCTTGCGATTTTTAACCTCTTTCTGACCTCCTGTGTGAGGAAACTTGAAGGTGTCTGGAAGTAGAACATTAATTGTGACCGCTTCCACAAGTTCTCTCATTCGTATGTGTTATGGATGAAATGGCAGTTAAAATCAAAATTGAGCTTTTGATTTGTGGAATTCAATTTGTAAAATCATTGTCTGTAGCTTTACAGTCTGTCCCCTAACGAGCACGAAGGAATAAATCGGAGATCTGAATGATTGATTTCATTTATCAAATTTTTTTTTCTACTCTGGAAACCCTAAACATCTTCAGAATTGTACACCAAGCCCTTTTGACCAGAATGGCGTAACTTAAAATAAACGTGAGAGAAGCGGATCACTTTAAATGTTAGCATAGCAGACATTAAAAATGAGATTTAATTTATAGTGCACTTATGAGTCATTTTGTGGGATAAAATACAGGAAAACCATTTAACTACAGAAACAAGATAATAATGGCATGTCCTCTTTATTACATACAATTCTGCAAAGTGTACTTTTAAAAATTAAAGGCATCTCAATTGCAGCCTAGACCTCTATTAGTGTTCTTGATATGAAGAGTGCGCCACCTGCTGGCAGCCAGACATCACCTCAGGAAAATAATAGACACTTATTTTAATGTCTTTTTATGGGGAAAATTATTGTCCATTGGCTAAACACTTAAATTGTGATTTAAAAAAAATTAAAGTTTTGAAAAGTTGATATATTAGGCAGTCCACACTAACCATTAAAAGCATTGCGATTGTTATATTTTAAAATGAAATCAAATTAATTTCAATTTCAGACTCATTCAAAAGGTTTGAAAAAAAAGTTTATTAATGTGAGAAAACAGGACAAAACATTTTGAGGCATTCACACAAATAATTCCTTAGAGAAACCTCCACATTTTCTTGTTTTTCTCTTGATGTAACCGTTCACAAATAGATTCACTCATCTAAAACACTACAAAGCAGAACACAAACTATAGGGATGATCTGAATGGAAATCGGGAATTCAATCACAAATAAATAACAGCTTTCACAATACCGATCACAGCAAAAACACCAGCACTACCTATATGTGGTTAAATCCTCACTCTACATGATTTGAACATTGTGGACCAACATACACTAGATCTTTAATGTTAGCAACGGAGCATGAAATAACAGGATTTGCACTAAACAAATCAGAAACTACGAACAGCTTCACAGCCTCCGTTTATTGCATTTTTAACACCACTCCAACAACAGCAACAAACACATTTCTCACTTTTACACTGCAAATTCTTAAACTGTATTTTTGTTTTACAGTTGAAAAATATCTAAAACGTCCTTAAAATAAAACATTTACGGATGAAACCAGATGAAATTGTGTAATATATTAAGACTTATTTTTATAGAATAAGTTTTCAAATTGTAAAGGTTCAATTTGTAGTATTAATTAATGAATTAGGTTTAATAAACTAACACTGACCGGGAATTTAGTTTAATATTACAGTACCACATTACAACAAACTAATGTTAACTAACATGAACTAACCATGAGCAATACATTTGTTACTGTATTCATCTTTGTTAACATTAGTTAATAAAAATACAGCTGTTCATTGTTCATGTTAATTCACAGTGCATTAACTAATACAACTTTTGATTTTAATAATGTATTAGTAAATGTTGAAATCAACATTAACAGAGATTAATAAATGCTGTGGAAGTATTATTCATTTTTAGTTCATGTTTACCAATTTAGTTAGCTAATACAACCTTCATGTAAAGTGTTACCAATATTACTTTTTAAATATACTATTGATCATTGTTGTAACTCATGTTTATTCATAATACATTAATGTTTAATGAATGCAACTTGAAATGTTAAAAATGTATATGCAGAAATTAACATTAACCTACATTAATAAATGCTATAAAAGTATTTTTCATTGTTAGTTACTTAATGAATTTCCTAATGTTACTGAATTTAACTCATTGTTTTTTAGTAAAACAACTTTAAAAACCATCATTTTAGGCTAGACTTATGCTTAGGTTTTTTTGTTGTATGAACCTTTAAATATTTTGTATGCAAAACTAAACAAAAAATACTGTGTAAGAAAACGATTTTGCAGTGATAGCTAATTTTGAATTTCTGTGTTAAAGTAACAACAGGTAACTTTTCAACCTTCATAATATATTTCCAAGTCTCTTGTGATGGTACATCGACTTACAATAGGTTGAATGACACGTCTGCCATAGCCTGACGGGGTCTGTAGCGTTTTTAATCGTACTTTTAAACTTCGGGTTTTTCGGGTAGTAACCGGCGAACAAAGAGAACTACAAAATTCGACTGCTTTACGGCATATACGTCACTTCCACCACCACCCCCACTTCCTTAAAATCGGACTTGCGAGCCAAATGTTATAGTCATGGCCGAAGCAGCACAGAAAATCAAGAAAGCAAAGGTTTTATCGGAGCAAAGCAAAAAGAGAAAAAGAGAAAGTGATCGCGTTAAAGGCAGAACGAGGATCAACATTGCAGAGCTGCCAACTCTCACGCATTGGCCGTGAGACACCCGCATTTGATTGGTTTCACACGCTCACACGCCACACCCCCGGTTTCTCACGCTAAATTGTCAACCCGGTCGGTCAAAAGCCTGAAAGATGAGTTTATCTATAGATCTACCTGTTGAGCCACTCGTGATCGACAAGTTATACCGCAAATTAGTTAAAATCTCCCGGAATCTATAGCGAGCGCGCACGCGAGACAGAGACTGTGCTCCAACGCGCGCGGACGGCAGAGAGAAAAAAGCGAGCGAGAGACCTTGCGTGTGCAGGGAGCATCGAACCCCCCATCGAAAAAAGAATGCCTCTCTCTAACCTCTCTAATTCGCTAGAGTAGTAGCGAATTATCAATCTGGTAGCTAGTAAACGATATTCTAGTTTTTGATGGTTAGCTATCACTAGTATTCTCGTTCTGATTTGAACTTTGCAATCGATGAAATGCAAATAGCAAATGTTTGACCTAAAAAGTGTAGTCTACTCAACATGTACAAAGAAAGAAGGAAGATTATTAATAAAATCATATTTTAGGATACCTAACATGTCTGTGATATTTGTTTATTTGTCTTGCCTCAAGCTATAATGCAAATCGATTTGTAAAATTTGCAGATTCATTTATGGTAGCTTGATATTATAATATTGACGATATATGGTTATTATCAACCACTCAAACATTGCATTGAAGTATCATATAGATTCAGCAAAACGGTAACCAATAGACTAGGCTACTATAATGACGCTGGCTTGTAAACGTGAGCATCGCGATCATTTGTCGTTAGAAAAAAAATAAAACCCATGAAATTATATTCATATGACATGCTGAAATATATGCCACTGTACCTGGGATGAAGACATTTCACACGCGACGCAAGCAGAACACCTGCATGTGACCTCCTCCTACAGTGTTCAGGGCTATCATGGTTGTCAACAATTGCACGTGCATGTAGGATGACAGAGTTTGACAGTAGTAGAGGACAATACTGTTTCCCAACTGTAGGGGGACCCCGAGAGCAAAAGTTATCTGTTGTTACTTTAACTATGAAGCAGAATCAACACCAAGAAAATGTGCAGTAACAGCGTATGAACGAAAAGTTTTGCTAACTTTTGCAGTTGTTACAGACTGTTTTACGGTAATCATCCTTCAGGGGTGACCAGTCCTGTTCCTGTCCTACCTTCCAGCAAAGTTCAGCTCCAACCCTGAACCAGCGAAACAAGATCTTATAGCACTGGATAACTACAGACAGGTGTGCTTGAACTGAACTCTGCAGGAAGGTAGATCTCCAGGAACAGAACTGGGCATCCTTGAGTTAAATAAACCCGGTTATGCTCAGAGGACACTCTCTCGTTCCTCAGCGGCGTCAGGACCGATGGACCTCTTGCGTTGGACTCCATGCAGGTTCTGGTTGGTCTCTGTGCTGGATCCGGGTCTTATAATGAGTGAGGGGCAGTCGGTGGAGCCGGAGGTCTCCTGCTGAGTGCTGTTGTTGAGGTTGTTGTTGAGCGCAGCGTTGTCGGTCGAGCAGTTGAGGTTACTCCCGGCTGAAGCGGGCCAGCTTTCCTCAGGGGTACTGCTGTCAGACAGAGCGTCAGAGCAGATGGACATCCGGGCCACGGCCTCGTCTTGAAGGTTGCCCAGCCTGTGCGGTAAGACTCGCTTTTTAACCGGGCTCTCAAGAACCAGTTCGATCAGATGGGTCTCCTCTTCTTTCTTCTCCTGGGCCGATTCGCCCTCCTCATCTTGTAGCGAGTGGTCGGATGAGCTCCTGCTGGACCTCACTCCAGAGTCAGAGGATTTCTTGTCCAGCATGATGTCTGAAACGAAGCTCTTCCCTGTAGATAAGAGGCCTAGATCTGGTTCGGCGGCCCAGGGTTCCTCTCTTAGCAGCGGGGTGGCGTCTGTCTCCTCGTCCCCAGAGTCTTCTTCATCTCTCGGCACGCTGTGGTAACAAGGGCCCTGGCCTCTGGTCTTGCGTCTTTTAGTGGCAGATCCATGCTCGGACTTCTCATCCTCCTCTGTAATGGGGTCTAGACAAGCACCATCAGGGGCTGAGGAGAAGTCCGCTATAGTGTCTGCGGGTTTGGAGCCCTTTTTGGCATAGGGTTTGCGCCCATCTTGCTCACCTTCCTTAGTCTTCTCCTCAGAGCTGGCTGAGAGGAACTGGCCGGCCAGGGCTTGAGCGGGACTC